CACGGCGGTGGCAGCGCCCGGTGACGCAAGAGAAGGGGAGGCGTCGGCGGCGGGAGCGCTAGGTGAGGGTTGGATGAGGATGCTAGGTCCCGATCTTCCAATAGTTATTGATAACTCTCGATTTAGTGGAAACTTGACACACACAATGCGGCTTCCGATCAACACAATCTGAACTCTGCAATCGTAGCACCACGTCTCCTCTAGTTATCAACCGTCCACTGCTCGGTTGACCTCGCCGAGAAGGCTAATCCCTGCATGTGAATCAAATAACACAAGTAAGAACAAGATAGATTGCAACACAATTGTGTATGAATGATTAAGCACTCGAATTTGAGGTTCCACAAACCAATCTAGCAACGAAATTGCAATGGCATAAATAATCTAAGCAAAACCTGACTCTAAACTATGACGGCTGCTGAATAAATATGATTTGAGACGTCCTTGGGTTGCCCTAGAGCGCGCATCCCCTTGGGCTAAGCCACGACATAATTACAAAGCCCACAACCCAAATCATATTTGGACTGGATGAGGTACGTGACTTGTTTTGCAGATTCCCGATATCTTGGTGGGAATTTTGACGTGGGACCAAAACCATATGAAAGTAGACTCCAATAAACTTTCCAACAAGTGCTCATGGGCCCTAAAATTCCTTTTAGATTAGCGGCTAGGTCCGTTTGAAATTGATGCTGTCATGAGGCCTGAATCCGAATCCAAAACGTGTAGAACTTTATCTCTTGTCTTCTATGGACCAAAAGTGGCGTGGTGAGGTAGAAGTAGACTTGGAGAATGTCTTAGTTTGGTCCCCAATCAACTTCTTTGATCATCCTTGCATTCCTTATGCTCGGTTTCTTTTCCTTCACCCAAGCAAGTACCTCTGCAAACGAAAAGATACAAAACTCATGGTGTAGTAACATTTGTTCAAATATATAATAAGTAAATCTAAGATAGAACATATGCACCTTTAGTTGATGAATACATAAGTTAGACATGGTCATATCCGAGCTAGTTGTGTCCTCATCAGGGGGATTCGGCAGGCTGCAGGCGGAGCAAAGGGGCGAGCGAGATCCGCGAGATCCCTCCCCTCCTCCTCCGGCTGCTACCGCGAGATCCACGAGATCCGGCTGCATGCCGTACATCACCGTCCCATGCCACTGATCTGTTCTTGGGGCGGTGGGGAGTGGTGAGTTTGTGGTCGTTTCTTGCGGCGTGGTGAGGTGTGGGGAGAAAGAGAGATTGCACATATCCATGGCGCGGTCCCGCTTCTCGGAGGCGAGGGAGGATGACAAAGATGAGTTCTTTGACTCGAGGGAGGTCATGTCGCCAACGTCCATCTCTTCTCCGGCGAGCTCCGGGCGCCATGACAACGACGGGTTGCGCTATGACGGACCCATGTTTGAGGTGTGGGCCACCACCCAGCGCTACTGCCGCTGACGCCCTCCCCTTCTCTTGTGTCGTCGGCCGCTGGACCTCCCCGTGGCGCATGGAGAGAGAAGAGGGGAGAGAGATGAAGAGAGGGCAGATGGGAAGAGAGGAGGAAGAAGAGGAGGGTGTGAGAATGACATGTGTGGCCCATGTGGGCCCCACTATTTTTTAATAATTCTTTTGGTGTAACTGACATGTGGAGTCATTGTTTTTATTACTCCCTCCGTATTTTCATGTATGACGCCATTGACTTTTCGACCAGTGTTTGACCATTTGTTTTATTCAAAATTTTTGTGCAAATATGAAAGTATTTATATCATGCTTAAAGAACATTTGATGATGAGTTGAGTCACAATAAAATAAATGATAATTGTATAAATTTTTTGAATAAGACGAATGGTCAAACGTTGGATAAAAAGTCAACGGCGTCATACATTAAAATATGGAGGTAGTAATTTTCAAGTCAAATTGCCACGTCAATACCACATCAATACCAAGCAGATGAAAACCGGGTCAATTTAGCCACGTAGGCTAAAACCCTCGTCCAAACCGTCATGGGACCTATATTGCTCCGGTTTTGACATTAGAGGGACCCGTTGTATATGGTTTTTTGGTTAAAGGACGAAAATTAGATTCGTTGACAAGTTAAGGGACCTCACATGAACTTATTCTTATTTTAAATGCCAATTTGCATTGAATATAAATAAGAGAGAATTAATATGGGGCCTCCATTGTAAAATTCGCTCACGAAATAAAATAGATGGCCCATTCAATTCATTAGCTCTAGAGTCTAGACAGGCCGAGCTGCCAAGAAGGACAGTTGGATCAAGGATCACGCAACCAAGCCCATTTAATATGTTCCCATTTTCTTTCACTTTACATGGTTAAGATGAAAAACATTTACGGTGAGTTTGTTGAGAAAATATAAATTGTGTACACTCTCCCAAAAAGAATGCCAATCCTATTATTCAAATTTTGTAAAGGGAAACAACTATAGAGTATTACTTTTTCCCCCAACCAGCACCTATTCAAATTTCTCCTCATGTTCCTCCGACCAATCTCCTACTCTCAGCAATCTCTCATTGTATTCTTTTTGTAATAGAGGGAGTAAGGTTTTCATACATAAATTTTGCTAGTTTTTTCACACGTAATTTTGAAAGCTGATTAAAGAAAAAAATCTCAGATTATTCACCAGATTATTGAAATAAATTATTTCATCCATGCTTAAAAAATACGTTGTCTAAAAAAAGGTTCTTCTGCTGCAGTGCTTAGACTACTTGTTTTAAACTATTTATTAATTTTATTTCTCAAAATATTTAACTTATCTTTATAACTAAATCAAATAGATAATTTGCGAAAATAATCCAGACAGTAATCTAAATCAAACTTGGCCCAAACCTATGTGAATCACAAATATACTCGCACTAGTTTGCACAAATTGTTTTCTTAAGTTCTTTCTAGAGGGATTTGGCTATTTAGCATCTGAGTGAAACTTGGAGAATAGCATATTGCTTGACATGTTTGCAACCTTAAAGCCCTATATGTAGGAGCATCAATTCAGATGTTAAGGGAAGTATCTTCTGGCTCTACATTTGTTACTGCATATATAATGCAAGGAGTTTCTTCGTCATAAGTTCTCTTCCAACAATCTATTGTTCTAATAGGCTGAACTGCCATTGACAGGTAGGCCCAGGAAAATTTTCCGGCCCAGTAGGGCCCATATGTTATTTGTCTCTCTTTGTAAGCAAAACACAGATCTTTGTAGCAAGCAAAGCTGTATTCCTCTCCTGGGAGATTCTGCTCTTTTTGTCTTTTTTTTTTTCCTTTTTGTTGGGGAGATAATATCTGCTGCATTTCCAAAGGTACATTATCTGAAGAAAGGGGAGGAATTAGGAAAAGTAATGCTTTTCTTAATGAAAGAGCAAGCTCCAGGAGTATTAATTAGACCCAAAGAAGCTGCCCTAAGAGCTAAGGCTGAACTGCTGGTGACAGTTCCAGCAAACATTATTAGCGCCTGCATTTCAGACAAACTGCAGACTCTGCATTTCAAATTTCATCCTTCTGTTCCTCCTGAACAGTGTGACCAGATTCTCTAAGGTACAAGAAAACTCTGCTGTTGCATTACATTGATTTATAATGTAGATCGATGTTTAACCACTACTACATGTGTTTTCTCATTTCTTGACATATTAGTAGATCTGGTACTATTCATGTGATATATCTAAGGCCCCATCGTTTGGCTTATTGATGGAAGAAGCCAAACGACATATTTACAAACGAAAAATAATTTGTGAATAAACCTTTTATATATGCGCTCTTAGTGATCTAAAAGCAAAGGTTGAAAAATAAACTTCGATAAAAAAAACTCAAAATCAACTCCAAATTTAAAGTTGAAAATTCAAATTTTAGCTAATAAGCATAAGCATAAGTGAAAAGACGAGGCTGTAAAAGTGAACCATCCCTTTGTTTCATCAAAATTAATTTTGACATGTCCTAATCATTCTGACGTAGCAAAGTAGAGAGAAGCAAAAAAATCTCTGATCTTACATATCTGGTAGACTGATACTACTGATGTTCACAACAACATGAAGTGAAATAGTGACTGGTGAGCATGCCCTCAGCTATTTCGAATAAATATAAGCTAAATTTATAATTGAAGTCACATACTCACATGGCTGGATTTCCTTTTCCTAGATCAAAAACTGAAATTTCTAATCTTCATAAAACAGAACTGAAACTTCCAACAGGGGAGCAGAGCAGGCCGCCTGAAATACTGAAATAGAACTTTATTCAGACTGCAGAGCTTTTCATATTTGGTATGATTGTCATTGTACACATTAAAAATCTCATTGAACAGCGCATTTAATAAACATTACAAGAATATAAATTAAGTCTGGAAATACAAAAGACTCGACCAAATTATCATCTATGTCCATTAAGTTGGCAACTAAAGCACACTTCTGCTTTCCTCTGTAATGGATATCTGTTATAACTGATACTCAATGAATCTGGCCAAACGAAGAATTGTTCTTTCCCTCTTCAATTATCAACAGCACCCTTTAAAATACATCAATGGTCCTTCCTTACTGTTCATTTTTCCAAAGAGAAAATTGCACTGCGATCAGCACAAATGCTCTTCTGTATCAATATCTCCTGTTAAATTGTCATAAGTTATAACAGCACCATGGACCCTAAATATTTCACTGCTTCTGTATGCAGTAGTTTTTTCTCAAGAAATGGCAGCACTGTCTGTCTTTGCTTCATCAATACTCTCAAAGGTCACTACATTTGCTGTTGAATATGCTCTCGACGACATCAAACTTGCTTGCACAGTTAGGAGTGAGATAGAAAAGCTGAGAAACTCATTGAAGGCTATTTGCGCTGTTCTTAAAGATGCTGAAAGGAAGCAATCTACATCTAGTTCACTTAAACATTGGCTGGAAAACCTCAAAGACATTGTCTACGACATAGATGATGTTCTCGATGACGTTGGGACACGAGCATTGCAGCAGAAAGTTGGAAAAGGTGAAATCCGTACTTATTTTGCTCAACTATTCATTTTTCCTTTTGAACTGGGAAGAAAGATAAGAAGGGTTCGTGAAAGGCTAAATGAAATATCTGCACTTAAAAGAAATTTTGATTTGAAAGAAGAACCAATAGACACACCTTCAGATCGAATTGTACAGAGAGAAACATACTCAATTGTAGATGAGCGAAAGATTGTTGGGAGAGATAAAGCTAAAAATGATATTGTGAAGGTGATTTCAGAAGCTGCTGAATCTAATTCTGATACACTGTCAGTGCTTCCACTAATTGGAATGGGAGGTGTAGGCAAGACTGCCCTAGCAAAACTGGTATTTAATGACAAACGAACCAAAGAAAAGTTTGATAAGATGCTATGGGCATGTGTAGCTAATGTGTCTGATCTTAAACATATAGTAGATATTATCATACAATCAGATAGCGGTGAAAGCAACAAGCAATTAACCCTAGAAGCACTACAAAAGAAACTTCATGAGCTTTCAGGAGATAAGAGATACTTGCTAGTGTTAGACGACATATCACATGATAACATTAATGATTGGGAAGAATTGATGAACCTGCTACCGAGTGGTAGAAGTGGAAGCATGATTTTAATCACCACGCGTCTCTCAAAAATTGCATCAGTATTGAAGACCATAGAGCCATATGAAGTGCCAAAACTTCCACATGAAGAATGCATGAAAGTATTTGCTCGATATGCATTCAAAGGACAGAAGGCAAAGGATACTGAGTTACTAAAAATTGGAGAATCCATTGTACAGAAATGTGATGGTCTTCCTTTAGCAGTTAGGACTCTGGGATCCCTATTGTCTATGGAAGATATCTCTAAGTGGCAAGAAGTTAAGGAAACAAATATCCCGAACACGGATATCTTATCAGTTTTAAAACTGAGTTATGATGCACTTCCATCTGATTTAAGAGCATGTTTTGCCAGCTTATCCACTTTCCCAAAGGACTATGAGATTTTCAGAGAACTTTTAATAATGTATTGGATGGCAATGGGTCTGTTGAATACAGCTAGTGGAAGTAAGGAGGCAATAAGAATGGGAGAGAGATATTTTAGTGAGCTTGCAGGGAGATCTCTTTTCCAAGACTATGTTTTTAGTCATGATGGCACCATCTCACATTGTAAAATGCATAGCTTTGTTCATGACCTAGCAATATCTGTATCTCCCAATGAGCATGCAACAATTAGCTGTGAAAACTTTAGTGCCTCCAAAAGAGTTAAGCATCTTGTGTGGGACCAGAAGGAGTTCTCAAAGGACCTAAAATTTCCAAAACAACTGAGAAGGGCAAGGAAGGCAAGGACATTTGCGAGTAGGCACAACTATGGTACTGTGAGCAAATCCTTTCTTGAAGATCTCTTGGCAACCTTTACACGCCTACGAATCTTGGTTTTCTCTGAAGTTGAGTTTGAGGAGTTACCAAGTTCAATTGGAAATTTGAAGCACCTAAGATACCTAGATCTGCAATGGAATATGAAGATCAAATACCTTCCCAATTCTCTGTGTAAGCTGGTGAATTTGCAAACACTTCAACTTGCTTGGTGCAAAGAACTGGAGGAGCTGCCAAGAGATGTTAAAAGACTTGTCAGCTTGAGGTACTTAATCCTCACATCTAAGCAACAATATCTTCCTAATGATGCCCTCATGGGTTGGACTTCCATGGTATTTCTACAGATTAGTGCCTGCCCAATGTTAACATCACTGACAGAAGGATTTGGCAGCCTCAGTGCACTTAGAGAGCTATTTGTCTTCAATTGTCCAAATTTGCCCTCTCTCCCCTCTAGCATGAACCGGTTAGTCACCCTTCAGAAATTGGTGATTCATAACTGTGATGAGTTAAATTTGATGGAACCAAAGGAAGCAATGGGTGGAATGAAGAGTCTCAAATCAATTGAACTTGTGGGGCTTCCAAAGTTTGAGACCTTTCCAGATAGCTTTGCATCAGCTGCTTCCACTCTTGAATACCTGAAGGTTAGTGACTGCAAAGAATTCAAGAAGTTGCCAGATTTCATCCAGAGATTTTCTTCTCTGAAGAAAATTGAGATCCCTGAAAGGCGTCAATATTCCAGTAAAACCTGGGCATAGAAGTAAGTACATCTACCTTAGAGTGGTCCATACTTCCATTATCAATCCATAATCCAGTTACTTGTCTTTAATTGTTTTTTTACTACACATTTTATTAGTGATAATATTCAAAACATTTGCACACTTGTTCACTTCACCCATATGTTTGCATGCAGATGATATACGCTTATAAATTAACCACCATGGTGGTTGAAGTTGTGCTACACTGTTGCTTCAAAAGCGCAAGCTCAGTTCTTGCGAAAAATATCAAACTAAGCAAGGGGAATTCCGTCATTCCATGGAACTCTGCAATTCCGTGTGCACTGTTGCTTATTATTACTTGTTCTAAAAAATAGGTGGCTGTGCGTGTTGCGTGCAATACACCAATGTATCCCTATAAGCATTTTATAGGTTGCTGCACAATAATTGTGTCAATAAAAAAAACATGCTTTAGCTATAAGCGTTTGAATTATTAATGGTAACTGGTCAAATGTAATATGTACATTACTCCTAATAAAATGAGTGAATATAAAAGCAAATATGATTGTTCAGCAATAAAGGCCGGAGACCTTGGTCTTGTTCAAATGTGCTTGCATCCTTGCAAAAAGTGTGATCTTTTTCTTTCTTTTTTCTTTTTTTTTTTTTTTTTTTTGCAGAGTCCCTTTCCTGCTTGGAAGAACCCTGATTGTAATTTTAGTTGCTTGACAACGAGCAGGATGATCTGGCTGAGATCACTTCAAAGTAATCTCAGTGTTTCATTGTTAGCACAAACTATGCAGTAGCTTGCAATTTCGTTTGTTTGATATGAATTTCTTCAGTGCTATGCATTTAATTGCATACATTTAGATAGATATTATGGCTTCTTTCCACCTCGCTCGGCACGGGCGGGGAAAACAAACAAAATGAGCCTACCAAGGGAGCTTAGTACTGTACCCACTTAAACCGATAAAACGCTCATCTGATACTAATACTGATAATGATAATGAGGTCATATATCAATACAACACAAGAAATGATATTTTCTACCACTAATTCTCTTCCTAATGCCACTGAGCCAGCGATGGCATGGCACATCGGCCGCTCATGGTTTGATCCAGAAATAAAAATCGGATCGAGTCACTATACAGAGTATCTATTTTGGGGATCAATTTTCTCGCTCTTTTGCGAGAAATTCGTAGACAGAAATGAATCTAGTAGCATTTTATTATCTGATTTGCACAGATTGGATTCAGAATCCACTTCCTCTGCGGTTGGTCTGGAGGGAAGGTGAGAGAGGGGGAGATGAGGAGTCACAGGCTAACCTTCGCCGCCATCGTCGCTCGCCGTTGGCTGAAGGGGGACAAGCGGACTGGATGGCTCCCGGTGAACGACGGCTAGAGCCGCCGCCGCCCGCAGCATCCATCTCCGCCGGCGGCCGCCGCCGGCGACCGGGTAGCGGCTAGCCGGCGAGAGAGCGGAGAAAGACGAGGAGCAAATCCGCGAGGTAGAGAGAAAGGAAACAGGAGACTGACATATGGGACCATGTAGCAATGGTCATCGAGCTCACATAGTAAACACTACTTCACGATAGATTTTCCTGGAAGCCGCCCCCTTTTGTTTCCATGCGGTTCATAAGTGGAACCGCACGGGAAAATAAAGGAACCGGCACGGGGCTATCGCCCTCATAGGAAAATCGATTTTTCCGTGCGGGCCTCCTAATCCGATCGCACGAAAAAATCGATTTTCCCATGCAGGCTTTTTAAGTGGACCGCACAGAAAAATACCCCCTCCTTTCCCTCCCATCTACTTCAAATTTTTCACATCCTCTCTCTTACTTTTTCCCTTTTATTCTCCCTCAACTACCCCTCTCTCTCTTTCCCTCCTCCCCTTCCCCTCTGTCGGGCTGGCGAGGTGGCGAGCCGGGCGCGGTGGCGGACCTACTCCTGTAGGTCGTCCTCGTCGTGCACGTCGACCACTGCCTCCCTTCCTGTGCAGCGGCGAGCGGGCGGGCCCCCACCCGGATCCGGCGGGCGGCGGCGATTTTCACCCTTTTTTATTTTTGGTTTTTTTTGTTCCGTGAGGACGGTATAACACGACCGCACGAGATAATCGATTATCCCGTGAAGTTGGGTCGCCCGCACGTGAATATGCCGATTTTCCCAGACGCCCGGCTGCAGACGGGCCGGACTACTGCACGAGATAATCAAAATGCCCACATAGGAAAATAGGTATTGTAGTAGTGAAAATAAAGTTCCGCTCGATATAAATTTTCGAGTAAATTTCAGAAAACTCCACCTATCATGATGCAGGTTACAGGTTACATAAGTTGTAAAACCATAGAGATTTTAACATGCAACACAAATTGGGTATTATGGTTCTAAAATTTCACAAAACCATAACATTAACCATTCTGATGTACTCATATATTAAAATTTTAAAAAGTGGATGTAATATTTATACGATGGACAAAACACGTTGTGGTTTTGAGATGAGTTTGTAAAACTCAAAGTGTGATAGATAAGAGCAAAATTTATCAATAGTGTGGTTTTGTGAAAATACATAAGGTTACGTGCCACGTGCCAAAATCCCGGTGATTTTGTGTAACTATGTTATGTGGGGTTTCATAAAATTTACTTTATTTTTATTTTTTTACACTTAGGACATAATTCACTTAAATTCCGATATATAATTTTATGTTAAAATAAGTTTATGGTTCAATTATGGTAGTATTTTTTTCGATTTGGATCCATCGGGCATGGGACTATCTAAAAAAACTGCACATAACTACTCCATAATATAATTCCAATAATTGTAATATAATTTCACTATAGCTATACTATAACTATAAAATACTTGTATATAAGTACTAAAATAATATATGCGATTTTATATTTAACTTATATAAAAATTACCATATAGTTACAGTATAGTTACACTGCAGTTATAATGTAACTATAGTGTAATTATATTATAGTTGCACTACAACAATATTATAGTTAAATTTCAAAGTTTTTTGCTGTGACGGTTTTTTAGCAATTCCGTTTAGGCATTTAGCTCCAACTGGTCAAGGTCAATGGGTCGTGCCGCTGTGGGACGATGGGCCAGATTGGAGTACTGGAGAAATTAGCTCAGCTATTCATGTATATAGACAATATACATACATATAGCAATTTTCTTGGGGGAAAATAGGGGTACAATTGTACCCCATGTTCCCCGCCCCTAGCTCAAAAGACTAAAAATGATATTGAAAGCTCACATGACATATTAGTAATATTATGAGCATCAGGATTTAAACCTTAGTGGGGTGAAGTTATGTGCCCCATGACTTTATCATCACACTACCAGTGCTTTTCCTTTACTGTTAGGGTTTTTAAAAGCTTAGCTAAATACTACCCTTAAATATCAGATATCTATGAGGGAGGGAATACAGTAACATCATCAAATTCTCAATAACATTTTATTTACACAAAAATTCTTTTCAAAAAAATCATGTAGCACAGTAACATCCTACATGAACTGAAGCACCATCTACCGAAATTTAGCATATTTCAAATGCCAATTTGGATCCCAAGATACATAAACCGGAAATACACGCCATTCAATTAATTTCTCGGCCCATGCAGATTCATAATCCAGATAGGCCAACCTGCCTTGCAACCCAGCCCATCTCATATGTCATCTGTGTGCATGGTTATTGGTTAAGATGCAAAAAATTGCAATGAGTTTAGTTCAGAAAATAAAAATTTTACAAGTTCTTTCAGATGTAATTTTTGCAAGTTGATTCAAGAAAAAGCCAAGTTCTATGAGAATGCTCACCAGTTTGCAAAAATGTTTGTTTTGAAGAAATTATTTTAAAAGGATTGCTTGGCATCTTAGCGACCTCAAAGCCTTTCTTGTAGGATCATCGATTCAGATGTCAAGGGAGGTATCCTCTGGCTTTGCATTTCTTACAGCATAAAATGGAAGGAGTTCCTTCATCACAAATTCTCTTCCGATAATAAACTAAGAATGTTCTAACTTCTAAGAGTGTTATGAACAGGCATTGACAACTGACAAGTAGGCCCAGGAAAATTTTCTAGCCCAGCAGGGCCCATATGTTCTCAAACATGTGTCTTATTCTTTGGAATGAAAAGTCTGATCCTTGTAGCAAGCAAAGCTGTATTCCTCTCCTATGAGGTTCTATTTTCCATTATTATTTTTTGTCAAAGAAGATGATGTTCTACTTACATTCTCAAAGGTATATTATCTGAAGAAAGGGGAGGAATTAGGAAGACTGACATGCTTTTCTTAATGAAAGAGCAAGCTTCAGGGAGTATTAATAGGGCCCAAAGAAGCTGCCCTAAGAGCTAAGACTGAACTACAAATGACAGTTTCAGCAAACATTAAGCACTTGCATTTTCAGACTACCGCAGACTTCCTTGTCCCTTCACCAAGAGTTCAAAAGCACCAAACCAGATTCTACAAGGTACAAGTAACTTTTGCTTGTTGCATTACTTGATCTGTTAGTGCAGATGCAGCAGATCGATATTTAAATACTACATGTTTTTCTCTTTTTTTGTTGACATGATAGTTTCAGTACTGTATAATGTATATCTTGGTGTTCCTGATGAGAATTAGCACCATGTTATGGCAGTAAAGTGGATAGAAGCAATCTACCATTGATCTCAAGTATCAGGTAGACTGGAAATCTGGTACTTCTGTTTGAATATAGCCATCAAGCTTCACAAGTTCACAGCAACATTAAGCGAGAAATAACGGTGAGTATGTGTACGCCCCCAGCTATTTCAAACAAACATGGGCTAAATTTATGATTGAAATTCCGTAGTTAGATTTTCCTTCTACTATATCAAAACCAGTAATTTTCAATACTGAGCAACAAAACCTGAAGTTTCAATACCCGGAATACAGAACATTTCGTATTTGGTATAATAGTTGACTCTAGAAATATATTGTAATGATTTGTACACATCAAAAATCTCATTGAATCAACATAATGAATGTGACATTGCAAAAATATAATTAAGTTTGGAAATGTAAAAAAAAATTGAAGCAGAACATCTTCTATGTCCATAAAGTTGACAACTAAGGACCTAGGGGGCAGCCCTCGGCCCGATCATCCAATTTGCTCCAACGATCTAGGCATGGTTCAGTAGTCAAAGCAACTTCGTCACTTTCGTGTACCCATTGGATGGCAGCCCTTCCGGGGTTCCTTAGGGACCAATTTTTAGATCACAGGGGACAAAATATATGGGGATTATTTATGCCACTCTTCCAAAAGTGCAAGTACTCCTAAAGCTTTCTAGATCAGCATTTCTTAAATAACTTGTTATAAGCTATCCATTGGTTTTATAATATATAACGTTTAATAATCCCTACAATTGTCCATATTGTGTCCAAAGCACACACTGCTTTCACCTGGAATGGAAACTCTTATACTAGTACTACCTATATTTCAACTTAATTGTCTTTCTAGTTTTGTCCCGAGTCAAACATTAGTATCTTTGACTATCAATTTCTAGAAACTCACATAGTTTAACATCATAAAATTTGTTTTTAGATTCACCATGAGAAATATTTTCATAATATATAATTCACATATTACTAGACTATACGAATTTCTAGAAATTGATAGTTAAAGATAGAAATGTTTTACTTAGGACAAAGCTAGAATGACACGTAGTAATTTGGAACGGAGGGAATACTAAATGAATTGATCAAAATCAGGATTGTTCATTTCCTTTTTCAACTACCAACAGCACTCTTTAAAACACCAATGAGTTAATGATCCTTCTTTACTCTTCATTTTTCAAAAGGAAAAAGCACTGCAATCAGCGCAAATGCTCCTGTATCAATGTTTCCTCTTACAATGTTGTAACAACATCATGGGCCCTAAATATTTCATTTTCCTTATGCAGTAGTTTTTCTCAAGAAATGACTGTGCTATCTGTCTTGGCTTCATCAATACTGTCAAAGGTCACCACGTTTGCTGTTGAATATGCTCTCGACGACATTAAATTTGCTTGGAATGTTAAGAGTGAGCTGGAAAAGTTGAAAAACTCATTGGGAGCTATTTGTGCTGTTCTGAAAGATGCAGAAAGAAAGCAATCTACACACAGTTCACTTAAGCATTGGCTTGAAAATCTCAAAGATGTTGTCTATGACATAGATGATGTTCTGGATGATGTTGGGACACGAGTGTTGCAGCAGAAAGTTAGAAAAGGTGAAATCTGTACTTATTTTGCCCAACTAACCATCTTTCCTTTTGAACTGGGAAGAAAAATAAGAAAGGTCCGTGAAAGGCTAAATGAAATAGCTGCGCTTAAAAGAGATTTTGAATTGAAAGAAGAACCAATAGACACACCTTCAGATCAATTTGCCCAGAGAGAAACACACTCCCTTATAGGCGAGCAAAATATTTTTGGAAGAGATAAAGCTAAAAATGATATTGTCAAGATGATTTCAGAAGCTGCTGAATCTAATTCTAATACCCTGTCAGTGCTTCCACTAATTGGAATGGGAGGTGTAGGCAAGACTGCCCTAGCAAAACTGGTATTTAATGATAAATCAACCAAAGATAAGTTTGATAAGATGCTATGGGCATCTGTATCTAATGCGTTTGACCTAAAACATATTGTAAATATAATCATACAATCAGATAGCGGTGAAAGCAATAACCAATTAACCCTAGAAGCATTAACAAAGAAACTTCATGAGCTTTTAAGGGACAAGAGATACTTGCTAGTGTTAGATGACATATCAAATGATAATGTCAACTGGGAAGAATTGATAAACCTGCTACCGAGTGGTAGAAGTGGATGCATGATTTTAATCACTACACGTCTTACAAAAATTGCATCAGAATTGAAGACATTAGAACCATACGAAGTGCCAAAACTTCCACATGAAGAATGCAGGAAAATATTTGTTCGATATGCTTTCAGAGGAGAAAAGGCGAAGGATAGAGAGTTACTAAAAATTGGAGAATCCATTGTACAGAAATGTGATGGCCTTCCTTTAGCAGCTAGAACATTGGGATCCCTATTGTTCAGAAAAGACATTTCTATGTGGCAAGAAGTAAAGGAAAATAATTTGCTGAGTACTGGGAAAGGTAAAGATGATATCTTGTCAGTATTAAAACTCAGTTATGATGCACTTCCATCTGATTTAAAAACTTGTTTTTCCTGGTTATCCACTTTTCCAAAGGACTATGATATTTTCAGAGAACTTATAATAATGTATTGGATGGCAATGGGTCTATTGAATCCAGCTAGTCGAACTAAGGAGGCAATAAGAGTGGGAGAGAAATACTTTAATGAGCTTGCTGGAAGATCTCTTTTCCAGGACTATGTTTTTAATCATGATGGCAGCATCTCACATTGCAAAATGCATAGCCTTGTTCATGATCTAGCAATATCTGTGTCTCAAAATGAGCATGCAATTGTTGGCTGTGAAAATTTTACTGCCACTGAAAGAGTTAAGAACCTAGTGTGGGACCACAAAGACTTCACAACAGAACTAAAATTTCCAACACAACTGAGAAGGGCAAGAAAGGCTAGGACATTTGCATGTAGGCATAACTATGGTACTGTGAGCAAATCCTTTCTTGAAGATCTCTTAGCAACCTTCACACTCCTAAGAGTCTTGGTTTTCTCTGAAGTTGAGTTTGAGGAGTTACCAAGTTCAATTGGAAATTTGAAGCACCTAAGGTACCTAGACCTTCAATGGAATATGAAGATAAAATTCCTACCCAATTCTCTGTGTAAGCTGGTGAATTTACAAACACTTCAACTCGCTTGGTGCAAAGAACTGGAGGAGCTGCCAAAAGATGTGAAAAGACTTGTCAGCTTGAGGTACTTGATTCTCACATCTAAGCAACAATATTTACCTAAAGATGCCCTTGGTGGTTGGACTTCCATGGTATTTCTACAGATTAGTGCCTGCCCAATGTTGACATCACTAACAGAAGGATTTGGCAGCCTCAGTGCACTCAGAGAGCTATTTGTCTTTAATTGTCCAAAGTTGCCATCTCTCCCCTCCAGCATGAACCGGCTTGTCACCCTTCAGAAATTGGTGATTCATAACTGTGATGAGTTAGATTTGATGGAATCAGAGGAAGCAATGGGTGGGCTGAATAGTCTCGAATCAATTGAACTTGCAGGACTTCCCAAGTTTAAGACCTTTCCAGATAGCTTTGCATCAGCTTCTTCCTCTCTTCAATACCTGAAGGTTAGTGACTGCCCACAATTCGAGGAGTTGCCAGATTTCATTAAGAGATTCTCCTCTCTGAAGAAAATTGAGATCCCTAAAAGCCGTGCACCTTCCACTATAACCTGGGCATAGAAGTAAGTACATCTAGCTTTAGAGTGATCTATATTTCCATAGTCAATCCATTATCCAGTTACATGTCTTTCATAGAATTAACTACTCATTTTATTAGAGATAATATCCAAAACATTTGCAGACTTGCTCATTTGACTCATATGTTTGCATGCAGATGATATAAGCTTATAAATTAACCACCATGTGGTTGAAGGTATGATATATTGTTTCTACAAAGGCGTGAGCTCAGTTATTGTGAAAAAAAAAACTCTCAAATGATGTGTACTGTCTTTTAAATAATAGGTGATTGTATGTTGTGTGTAATACAACTATGTATCCCTATATGCATTGTATAATTGTGTCAATTATGTATCAACCATGTTGCCTCACAATAATTGTGTCGATAAGAACATGCTTTAGCGATAAGTATTTGAATTCATGGTGACCAGTCACAACTATCATGCACTCTTAATAGCATCACTACACACTCTAGCAAACTAAATAAAATAGAGTAAGTGAATTTTAAAGAAAATATGATTGTTCAACAGGCCACAACAATAAATAAACCTTAGTCTTGTTCATACCTGATTGCATCCTTGGAACATGTTTAGTTTCTTGACAAGGGGCAAGAAAAAAATGTGGCGACAAAAGACGACACAGCAGCAAATCCTCGTGAGCAATGCCAAATTGATCCGATAGAGACCACTTGAAAGTAATCTCGACGCTTTACTGTTACTACAAATAATAAAGTTCTCCATTTCATTTGTTCTCGAATCCTTGATATTAGGCCATGATTTGGCCTGAGTTGTTTAAGTACGCATGTAATTGTAGCTAGGAGCTTATCTTGAAGGCCCATCAGTGCCATAACAGTTTCTGCCAGCCATTGATGCAATGGCCCTATGAGCAGAACAAGCATGATCATTTTTCTACTCCCTCCATTTCATATTATAAGTAGTTTTGACATTGTATCGATCTAATCAGATTTGTTTAAGTTTGACCAAGTTTATAGAAAAAAAAATATAGCGGCATTTCCAATACAAAACAAATATATTCGATATTATATTTAATGGAACTAATTTGGTGTTATAGATATTGCTAATGTTTTTTAATAAAATTGGTCAAACTTAAAGATATTTAACTGAAAAAAGTCAAAGCAACTTATTATAATATGAAACAAAAACAGAGTACTAAAAGGAAAGTACTAGTTGTCTTCCTAATGCCATTGAACCAGTGGTGACACTAGGAAAGACAATTAGTGCTCATAATTTGATCCAGAAATTAAACCGGTCGCATCGGTGGACAATAATCAGCGCCAGTGTTCTTCCTAATATTCTCTCTTATGCACGAAATACACACTAATGGATCAAGCATTATCCTATCTGATTTTTCGGTGAAGGGGATTTCGAATCTACTTTCCTTGCGGTGGGTAGGTAGCGAGGAGGAAGGACGAAGGAGCGCGCCGCGCGCGTACGATAGACATGGGGTGGGGAGAGACGGGCTAACCTTTGCCGCCGCCGGCGATGCGATCGCCGCTCGAACACCACGCGAAAGGGAGGGAGAGAGGCAGAGACCGGACGGCTCCGGGCGCCGCCGCCGGCGGGATCCATCCATCTCCGGCGGGAACAACCGCGGATCGAGGCGCCGAGCAGGGGAGCAGCGAGAGAGAAGGCAGGAAGAAAGGGAAGGAAGACGAGCAAACTCCTCGCGAACCGCTACAGGGAGATTTCTTTGGTAAAAAAAAAAAGTAAATTTCATTTTGGCCATATATTTTTACCCATGTTACAGCTTGGGTCAGGTTTTAGCTGAGTTTTTCACCTTGGACCACTTCATATTACCATTTGTTTCAACCTGGACCATAGCCGCTCGTCTTCTCCGAGTAGGCGACAGCCCAATGAACGCCGCGGTCTCCAGCGCGGCAGGTCGACGCTGTAGAGCGCGACACGGCGGAACAAGCAGCCGGTGCCGACGTAGATGGGGCCCTGGAGGCCGTCGAGGCCGAGCTCGGTGCAGTCGAAGAAGACGCGGTTGTGGTTGGCGTAGCGGTCGCTGGGATCGACGCCGTCGACCCGCTGCGGGAACTGGACGAACGCGACCGCGACGGCGTCTTCGGCGGCTCCGCCGCCGCCGCGTTCGATCATGAAGCAGATGCCGGCGCGGAGGGCCTGCGAGTTGTTGACGTAGTGGTCGCAGTCGAGGTCGAGGATGAAGGGCGCGTTCATGGCGCCCGCCTTCCGGTGGTGCGCGTGGCCGCGGCGCTTCTCGCGGCACACGTACACAAGCGCCGGGAGGCACACGTCGACAGAGGCGACGTCGATGAGCTTGCTCCCGTCCGCAACGCCGAGCTGTGGCACGCTCCCAGCAGAATCGATCAGTACCTGCACAACTCCGGCGTGGTCATCGGCCGCGCCGCGGCGCCGGCGGCGCGCATCGGCGGCCTGCAGCGCGTCGATCCGCAGCCGCATCTCCTCGTACTCGCGGCGCACCCGTCTCCTGTCGCGCACCAGCTCCGGCCACGCCATCCCCCTGTAGCTCCCCCTCGCCACCACCTTCGCCTTGCCACCACCACCCTCGCCGGCGTTGAAGTACGCCTCCGGGTTCCTCGGCTCGACGCCGTGCTTCCGGCAGAACGACACCCAAAGCGCCGCGAACCGGGCCGCCTCCACGACCGCGTTACGTGTCACCTCCGCGCCTGCGTCGTCGGAAATGTAGCACGTCACCTTGCCGGCGGGGTAGCCCGCGGCGAGGATATATGGACAGCACGGTGTTCGCCGTGGCGAGCGGCGGCTCCTTGTCGGGGTCGGCGGTGGTGACGAACACGTCCATCGCCGGGAGCAGCGCGTCATCGTCAAGCGCTGCTATGCCGTCGGGGTCGGCGGTGGTGACGAACACGTCCATAACTGTGCGTTGCTGCTAAACTCTCCTCAGATAGGACTAGGAGCGCCTGACAGGAAAGCAGCGCCTGACATGTGGGCCCAACTAGACAGTGCTGACCGGTGAAAGCCTCATCGTTTTCCTGCCAAAAAATTAAAATTTGATTTCTGATCTTTCTCCACATATTTTGTAAAGCATATATTTATACTAATATAAAAAAGGAGTTGTGCTTATGGATCCTACGGTGAAATCACGAAAAAACCTGGCCGACGCGCGGACGCGCCGAATTCCCGTTGCCGCAATTTTCTCCGCACTAACCTCGCTGCGGCAATATCCTCTATGCTAACTCCACCACCCCCCCTTCGTGTCTGTAGGCGAAGTAGTTGTAGCAGTGGCACAAACAAAGTGGTTGCCGATGTTTAGCTCTAGGGTGGCAGTATCCCTCTGGCTTCCACCTACACTGTCCAAGATAACCACATCTTCTCTCTCCAGCAGCTAAGTGATCGGGTTAGAGTTTTGGTGTTAGGGATAAGATGGTCAAGAGAGAGCTGTTGGAAATATGGTCATATATCGGCATATTTTAATCCAAAATATTAAGACAATAATTATGGCATGAACAGTGTAGGGTGATCTAGTGATAACATGTAACATAACCAGTAGCATGCTAAAGGCATGAACATCAGGAGCAGGAACATGTAACATAACCAGTATGCTAAAGGCATGAACATCAGGAACAGGAACATAGCAAGTTGCGACTAACAGGATTAACATTGCGACTAACAGGATTAACAACGCTAACAACAGGAGAATGATATACCCCGAGAATGGCCCTCTGCTGGATTGTGAGGCAGAATTGCCTCCGTTGGTGTTGACGTTCCCAGCACCGGCTCCGGCTCCAGCTCTAGGCGCGCCATCTCCGGCTCCAGCTCCAGGCGCGCCATCTCCAGGCGCAGACATGGTGGACGAGAACGAGCAGTCGTGCGGGAAGCACTCCCCAAAAACCTGATCACCCGCCTACCCGATGCAGATCTCAGGCGAAGGTGTGGTTCCGGAGGCCCTGCTCCTTCCAATCTCTCGTGCACGCAAGCGATCAGAAGCGAGGAGGCGAGAGAGCAGCACAGGCGCGGAGGAGGAGGAACTAACACCCGGGAAAGAAGCAAGCGGATCGTTCTGATCGGACTCGCGACCTCCTTATCTATCAGGAGAGAGGCAGTCGTGGGAACGTGGGATCATGGACGCGCCGTTGCGGAGGCAGTCGTGGGAACGTGGGTTCATGGTTGCAAAAGAATAGTGACGTGACGTGACGCATGCACGCCAGCCAAGCCTCGGCTCGGCGCGCGCGCGCGTGCGTGTGGCTTTCCGACCCCCACCTCAACCAGTCAACAGGAAGCCTCCAATAACTCCCTATTTAGGTTGAGATATTCCTCGCTTAAATCCTGAGGTGGTATTATTATCCTTAACACTTATTATGGGCCTTTGAGATTTAATAGGATAAATTGGGCCTAGCCCAATTATTCTAACAATCCCCACCAAATTTCATGGCTCATAAGAAATGTTCTCAAGGTTGTTCCTGTTTGATATACCAGGGTTTTGGTGGAGACTGTTAAGTTGAACTTCCACCTAGGAAATGAGCTACATCAGATCACAACTGAATAATGGACTATGCCTTGAATTGTCAGTTTTGTGTGATCTGGTTTCACTCAGATCCTTGACTGGTACTGGGCTGTCGTTCGCATCCCCTCTGTTCGGAGCATATAAGTCAAACTCTAGGCCTTTCATGAGTATCTAGAGATCGCCCAAACCTCATAGACTGTGACTAGCAGTCGAACTCATATAGGTGTGTTCCTTCTGAGATGTTCTGCAAGTCAACATCTCTGCTTGGAAAAGCCACCCGGATCACATTAAGGCATGAGCCATCCTACCATGCGGGAAAGAAGAGAAGTACATCATGAAAATGAGCCCTTTTCAAGGGTCTCTTCTCTCAGTCACACAATAGTTTGTTTCGCCATCCAAATTCACAAGATCTCCGATCACAATGGACAGGTTTCCACTATTGTGCAACCTTAGGTGGGTATCAAGCCCATTTCCCTCGATGCACTATCTATCACATTACGTGGTAGCCCCTTGGTAAACTGATCTGCCAGATTTCTAGCCGTTTGGACATAGTCCAATGCTATCACTCCGGAGTTTTTCTGCTTTCTGACAGATTTCAGTCTTCTCTTGATATGCCTAGATGACTTCATGTTGTCCTTTGAACTGTTCACTTTAATAATCACTGTTTGATTATCACAGTTCATTAGGATAGCTGGCACTAGTTTTTCAACCACTAGCAAATCCATCAGGAGTTCACGAAGCCACTCGGCCTCAACTGTCACAGTATCTAGTGCTGTAAGTTCTGCTTCCATTGTTGACCTCGTTAAGATGGTCTGCTTGCAAGACTTCCAGGAAACAGCACCACCTCCAAGTGTGAACACATATCCACTTGTGGCTTTTATCTCATCAGCATCACATATCCAGTTTGAGTCACTATACCCTTCTAGTACTTTTGGATACCCGGTATAGTGAATTCCATAGCTCATAGTGCCCTTTAGATAGCGCATTACTCTTTCCAGAGCCTGCCAATAATCATCTCCCGGATTTGAGACAAACCGGCTCAGCTTGCTTACAGCAAATGAGATGTCAGGCCTCGTTGTACTAGCCAAGTACATCAATGAACCAATGATTTGAGAGTATCTCAGTTGATCCCTTGCTATTCTTCGGTTTTTTCTTAATAGCATGCTGGGATCATAAGGAGTAGGAGCTGGCTTGCAGTCACTATATCCAAAGCGACTCAAAACCTTGTCCACATAGTGGGATTGCACAAGTGTAATCCCACCCTCATCTCCTCTTTGTAGTTTGATGTTAAGAATAACATCAGCCTCTCCCAAATCCTTCATTTCAAAACTCTTGGACAGATAGTCCTTGACCTCCTCAATCACACTGAGACTGGTCCCAAAGATCAATATGTCATCGACATATAAGCACAAGATCACTCCTTCTCCCCCACCATAGCGATAGTACACACATTTGTCAGCTTCGTTCACAACAAAGCCTACAGATGTAAGCGTGGTGTCAAACTTCTCATGCCATTGCTTAGGTGCTTGCTTGAGGCCATACAAGGATTTCAACAGTTTACACACCATTCCCTCCTGACCTTCTAGTACATACCCGTCTGGTTGGTCCATATAGATCTCCTCCTCCAGATCTCCGTTTAGGAAAGCTGTCTTAATGTTCATCTGATGGACGAGAAGACCATGAGAGGCTGCCAGAGCAAGTAGTACTCGAATCATGGTCAAGCGAGCAACTGGTGAATATGTGTCAAAAAAGTCCTCGCCTTCCTTTTGGGTATAACCCTTGGCCACAAGTCTTGCCTTGTACTTTTCAATTGTACCATCAGGCCTAAGCTTTTTCTTGAAAACCCATTTGCATCCTACGGGCTTGCACCCATATGGACGCTCAACAACTTCCCAAGTACCATTAGACATAATCGAGTCTATTTCACTGCATACTGCTTCCTTCCAGTAGTCAGCGTCAGGAGATGAATATGCCTCTTCTATGGTTCTTGGGGTGTCATCCACGAGGTATACAATGTAGTCATCTCCAAAGGATTTTGCAACCCTTTGTCTCTTACTCTTGCGAGTATCTACAATGTTGTCCTCCTCAGGATTTCCCTCAGGCGTTTGATCATTGTGTTCTATCGGTACAAAGTGCTCATGGGGCATGACAGTTTCTTGACTAGAGGTGCTAGGTGTATGTTTCATGGGAAATTCATTCTCAAAGAATGTAGCATCTCTAGACTCAAAAATTGTACCAACATGCATGTCGGGTACTCCA